TCAAGAAGCCCCCAGACATAGGGCTGAGTCCTTCCCTAGCATATATAAGACCCTGGGTTCCATCCCCAGAACCAATAAAAGAAAATCTCCAGATCTACCCGCTTGAGAACAAAACCCACAGACACAGTTGAGGGCACTCTTCTGATAATCTATGTCTAAAGTAAATTTCCTCAGAACTTTCTAGGTAGTTAAGGCAAAAGATCCTTACAGTCATCTGTCCAAGAGCTGGCAATGAGGCCAGAGGATCCATGGCAAGAAAAGGATGAACTTCTGTCTTCTGAAGCCTGCCCTTTAGCATGGGTGAGAGGGTAGAGGTCAGGAATACATTCTCTGTAGCCAGAAAAAAAACCTGTGATTTGAGACTTCAGGGCTGTAGTTTGTGCTGGGCTCGCTAAGCCTAAGTGTGGGCTGTAGCTGCCCCCAAGTCCTGTTGTGCCCTCTCCCAGCACATACAGGCTGTCTTAAGAGGAAGACAGAGAAGGCCCAGCCTGAAAGAAATCTGGGCTCTTGAGGAGGTGGGACGTGGCTGGGAGCTGGCCCTGCAGCCTAGCAGGTCTAGAGATGAGTTGTTCTGGGCCAGAGGTTCATCAGGACCTGCCTCAAAGGCTCCTTTATCTTTTCCCACCCTCTCCTTCTGGCCCTACAGACAGATGTGCATACTTACAGTGTGGCTGTCAGTTGAGATATTTCAATTGAACACAATACATTCCAATTCCCATGACACTGTACACATACAATGAAGAAAAGTATCCTATTAATGATTTTGCGTGTGTGTGTGTGTGTGTGTGTGTGCGCGCGCGCGCGCGCGCGCGCAGCAGTCCTAGGGCTTGAACTCCAGGCCTGGGCACTGTCTCTGAGCTTCTTCTTTTTTTTTTTTTTAAATTATGTTTTTGGTCCGGTCGTGGGGCCTGAACTCTGGGCCTGGGCGCTGTCCCTCAGCTCTTCAGCCCAAGGCTAGCGCTCTACCACTTGAGCCACAGTGCCACTTCCGGCTTTTTTCTTTTTGCTTATGTGGTGCTGAGGAATCGAACCCAGAGCCTCATGCATGCAAGGCAAGCACTCTACCACTGAGCCACCTTCCTAGCCCCTCTGAGCTTCTTTTGTTCAAGGCTAGTTTTTTTCTGTGTATGTGGTACTGAGGAATGGAACCCGGGGCTTCATGCTTGCAGGGCAAGCACTCTACCACTGAGCCACCTTCCCAGCCCCTGATTTTGCATATTAATTACATTCTGAAATGATAATATCCTATGGAGAGTTGGGCTGTGTATATGTGTGTGCAAGCACGCATACACACTCGTGTGCACAATAATCAGGCCTTAGTCAAGGCCTTCCAGTCAGCACTCTACCATTTGAGCTATACCTCAAAGCCCTTTTTGGCGTTAGGTTTTGTTGGTGGTGGTAGTGCCAATCCTGGGGCTTGAACTCAGGGCCTGGGTGCTGTCCCTATGCTTCTTTTGCTCAAGGCTACACTTCACAGCTCCACTTCCAGCTTTTTTGGTAGTTTATTGGAAATAAGAGTCTCATGGACTTTCCTGCTTAGATTGGCTTTGAATGGAAATGCCCAGATCTCAGCCTCCTCAGTAGCTAGGATTACAGGTGTGAGCCACAAGCACCCAGTTGCTTTAGTTATTTTTTCAGGCAGGGTCTCAAATATTTTATTTGGGTAGGTCTCCTACTGTGATCCTCCTACCTTTGGTCATCCACTTAGATCATAGACACACACCTCTAAGGCTGGCTCCTTAATTGAGATGGTGGAGTATCACTACTTTTTGCCTGGGCTGACCTCAAGCTGATCCTCCTGATCTCTCAGCAACTGGGATTGCAGGCATGATCCACCATGGCCAATAATAAAATTCTTTTTATTTGTGTGTGTGTGTGTGTGTGCCAGACCTGGAGCTTGAACTTAGGGCCTGGAAACTGTCCCTGAGTTTTTATGGTCAAGGCTAGCATTCTACCACTTAAGCCATAGCTCTACTTTGGGCTTTTTAGTGGTTAATTGGAGATAAGAGTCTCACAGACTTTCCTGCCCACGCTGGCTTCCAATTGTTATTCTCAGATCTCAGCCTCCTGAGTAGTTAGAATTACAGGCATGAGCAGCACCCAGCTAATTCTTTATTTTTTAAGTTTTTGTTTTAATGTAACGCTTGAAAATTTAAAATGACGTATGAATTTGCAGTTTTCTTTTTATTTCTAAGGGCCAGCTGTAAGCTGAAGTATTTAGTAAAGTGAAAGGGGTGAGGGGTGATGACTGATCGTCTGGGCTGAGCCCTCTGAACCTCTTTGAATGTGGTTCTCATATGGGGATCCTAGGTTTTAATCTTGGGGATTGTGAAGTAGGAAAACTTTTTCATATTCTATTTTTTATTTTATTTATTTATTTTGGTCGGTCATGGGGCTTGAACTCTGGGCCTGGGCACTGTCCCTTAGCTCTTCAGCTCAAGGCTAGCGCTCTACCACTAGAGCCATTGTGCCACTTCCTGTTTTGTGAGTGGTTTATTAGAGATAAGAGTCTCATGGACTTTCCTGCCTGGGCTGGCTTTGAACCTCAATCCTCAAATCTCAGCCTCCTGAGTAGCTAGGATTACAGGCGTGAGCCACTGGTGCCCAGCAAAGCTCTTGTTTTTATATTAAAGTACTGTTAGTAAATTTTTTTTCCTTCATTGCTGGGTTGGAACCCAGGGTCTCATGCACAGTACGCAAGTGCACTTCCACTAAGCTATATCCTCAGCCCTTGCATATGCCTTTTGAAATAGCAACATGATGATGACTATGATGGTGGTGGTAGTGGTGGTGGTGGTGGTGGTGGTGGTGGTGGTGGTGGTGGTGGTGTGTGTGTGTGTATTTTGGAAACCCAGCAATACTCCCTGAGTCACTCTTCATGCCCTGTGGGAAACTCTCACAGTTAGAGGTACCATAGACTGTGAGTAGAAGGGTGGAGGAAGTATATCTAAAGGGGAAAAAGGAAAGGAGAGATTGAAAACTCTATCCTTTTCCTTGGACACAGAAAGCCACCTCCATCTACTTCCATCTTGGCCATTATCTGGGAACCTGTTGAAGATGGAGCAGGAAGCTGGGCTGTAGCTCACTGGTAGCATGCTTGTCCCAGGCATCATACTTTAGAGAAGAAAAAAAAAAAAAAGTGAAGGGGATTGTTTGGCTGGCTCTAGTCAGTGAGCAAAAGTGTCAGGTAACAAGTTTGAGTCCTGATTCCTGGGGAGGGGGGATGGGGGGGGGGAAGGAGGGAGGGAGGAGGAGGAAGAGAGGGAGAGAGAGAATGAAGAAGGAGCAGCTAGCCCAGTGGATGCCTTAGGCAGCCTCATCTTGGGCTGATCCTCCAACCCACCTCCAGGAAGTCTGGGGCAGATATCTGACTGCTCTTCTTGCCGAGTCACCTTTCCTGCCCTAACTGCCCAGCCCAGAGGCTGCCCACTCTAGAGAATGCCTGAGGTCTGATCCTCAGGTCGTCTGCTCAGTACTCCGTCAAGTAAGAACTGATAAAAGAAACTCTTGAGGTTGGAGGCATGGATCCAGTGGTAGAGCTCCAGCCAATGAGCAAAAGCGTCAGATACAGAGTTTGAGTCAGGGCCTCAGACAAAAAGGAAAAAAAAAAAAAAAAAAGGAAACTCTGCCCAGCCCAGGGCAGGCAAGAGTTTGAGCTGAGAGGCTCATTAAAGCTTTCTAATAAGCAATTAACTGTCCAAGATGAGCCCTTTTGCTAGTCTGAACTTCCCTCTTCCCTGTGGGACTCTGGCAGGGAAAGGCTGAGTGGGCAGGCAGAAATCTCCTCTAAACACAAATGAGTAAATAAACAAAACTCAGAGTGGGCAATACAAAGTCTGGAGCAGCCTTAGGCTTGATCAGTCTTCTGCCAGGCTGCAGACAGGTTTAGAGAAGCAGGGGTACAGCAACAGTAAACCCGGGCTCTCCATAGTCACCCTCTTGTGGAGTCCTTGGCTTCCAGCGGGGAGTGTGTTCAAGGGACACTACCTTTCTCCAGAACTGCTGGGCTGCTTGTCTACCTGGAGCCAAATCCTGGCCCCGATGAGGTCATCTCCCCCACACCACACACACACACCACACACACACACACACACCACACACACACACACACACACACACACACACACACGATGAGGTCAGCTCCCCCACACCACACACACACACCACACACACACACACACACACACACACACACACACGATGAGGTCAGCTCCCCCACACCACACACACACACCACACACACACACACACACACACACACACGATGAGGTCAGCTCCCCACACCACACACACACACACACACACACACACACACACACACACACGATGAGGTCAGCTCCCCCACACCACACACACACACACACACACACACACACACACGATGAGGTCAGCTCCCCCACACCACACACACACACACACACACACACACACACACACACACACGATGAGGTCAGCTCCCCACACCACACACACACACACACACACACACACACACACACGAGGTCAGCTCCCCCACACCACACACACACACCACACACACACACACACACACGATGAGGTCAGCTCCCCACACCACACACACACACACACACACACACACACACACACACACACACACCACACACACACACCACACACACACACACCCCTCCACAACTCCACTCTGCTCTGGATATAGAGCAGGAAGTTGGAACAAGGGGGGCTCTGTGACAACCATGATGATGGTGATGTCTGTCCCAGGGCTTCAGAGTTGAAAAGGAGCTCAGCCTACCTGCACCTAGAGTCCCAAGTCAAATCCTGTCTGTGGGAAGACTCGGGGCAGTGAAATGTCTGTGTCGTGTCTGCACTGTTCACTCTAAGTCTTCTGGAGTGGAGAGTGGGGCATCTGCTGCACACCTCCAGGGATAGTTAACCAACGCCTGGTGTGCGCCTGGGTCCCACTGCAGCTGTACCTGAGGGCGGGCCTCTTACAGCACCCTCTGTCTGTGTTCTTCCTTCAGGCTCTTGAGTAACAACAAGATCACTGTGCTCCGCAATGGCTCCTTCCTGGGACTGTCTCTCCTGGAAAAGCTGTAAGTGCTAAGAGGGTGGGGTGGGGAGGTGTCGGCCACGGGGCGGGGGGGGGGGGGGGGGGGGCAAGCTGGCTGTGGGGAGCTTGAGAAATTTTGGTTTCTGAGTGATCCCAGACCTGCAGGCCCACCTCAGAGCTAGGACCTGACTACCAGCTAAGGACAGGGTGGGCTGGGCTGAGCTGGGAGAGATCAGCTCCTGGCCAGCAGGTGACTGAACGCTAAGAAGGGAGTCCTCTCTTGTACAGGCAGGGAGGAGCTAAGGGAAGCTCATTAACGCTCTTTAATGAGCAATTAGCTGAGAGGGCTGAGTGCTTTAGCTGACCTCCTCCTCCCAGCTGGGGGCTCAGCATGAAAGGGCTGAGAGAGCCTTAATGTGACTGAGGCCTCTTTCCTCCTTCCAGAAAAACAAATCAACAAACAAAGGCAGGAGGGGGGCCGAGTTCTGGGTTGAGGGTGGCCAAGCTGATTCTCTCAGCCTCCTCTCCCCCACCCTTGCCCTGGATTAAAGGTGCAACCTAGGGCAGCAGTATCCTGCAGGCTGCCTAGGCCCACCAGCCCAATTGAAGCCTCCCTCCACCCCTACCCCTCCACCAGGCTGGGACCCCTGAGGTCTGTTTGCAGCCAGTTTTGGGGAAAAGTGAGGAGGAGCTAGAGGCTGAGGTGCATTGTCCAGATGCCTGCAAAAGGCCTGAGCTCTACTCAGCCACAACAAGGGTGTTCAGAGGACAGGGGAGAGGCGGGATAAGCCTGAGCTGGACATCTGACTCTACCACTTGGGCCAGGCACTAGGCTGCCAAGTGAGAAGCTTGCATCAGTCCCTCAGAATCCCCTCTTCCACTAGCACGCTTTCAGAACCACAGCCTGTACCAACCACATTGTGTCCGCATTCCCTCCACCTCTCTCTTGTCTCTCCTGAAGATGGATTCTTGCTTTTTCTCTACCCCCAATCCTCTCTGGCATCTCTGTGGTAAGACATTCCCAGGTCCTTCGGCAAGGTCTAATACCATTTTGCTCAAACTCTGTAAGATAGTTCAATGGGAGACTCGGGTATAGTGGAGACTTCAAATGATGCCAGTTACATCTGTATTAAGGAGGTTGGGGGCTTCTTTCTGTCAAGTTCAAGGGAGGCTTCTGTGAAGGCTGGAAGGCTTAAGGACACTGGAGATTGTCTAACATGATGTGGTATTTTCAGAACTCTATGAGAATCCTCCCCCCCACACCCCCACCCAGCCCAGCATCCAAGTCCACATACGGGCAGAAAATCCCAATGTGGGGCAGGCTTGGGGTCGGAACTTCTGGGAGTCCTGATTGGTGAGGGCGACCCATGTACGCGGCTCTGTGCTCTGCAGCACTTCCACATCTTAGGTTCAATGGGGAACATTTAAATCCTCCTACAAATCATTAAGCATTTGGAGCTGAATCCTCCTTTGGACAGGCCTGGTCTTAGACAGCAATTGCCGGAAACCAAATGCTCCTTTGGGGCTTTTTGGAGGAAGATGAATTGCAGCTGAATCTCTGGTTCCTTCCCATTCCCCACGCGCCAGTGCTGCCTCAGTTACTCCTTCTTCTCAGGTACTGCCAGTAGGCAAGTACTGCTCTGAGCCTCAGGTCATCTCATTGCAATCCTCCCGATCCCCCATCCTCTCATTCAAGCTGCCCCCTTCCCTTGGTCCTGTAGTCCCATGAGCACAATTTTCTGATGAGGATAAAAAGATGAGTTCCCCCATCCCCCCGTCCCCTGCATGTTAATGTACTGAATCCTAGCCCTCTGTCCGCCACCAGGAGCCCACACAGCAGGGGCATTGAAAGCATGGGAAAGACTCTAGTGTGGAGGACAATCGAGAGACTCACGAGAGATGGGCATCAACTCAGTGCTGAGTCGTGGGTAGGGGAGGAGCACGGGCCTGAGAAAGGGCACTAGAGCAAGAATTCCCAACCCTGAGCATGAGCCCTTGCTGCTATGAATCACTCCATTCACTCATCTGACAGATGTTTATGGAGCCTCACCATGTGCTGGGCTCTGTTCCTGGGGCCCACCAAGTGCAAATGCTGCCTCCATGTCACTCCCCTGTCCTGCCAGAGCCCAGGGAACAGCTAGTACCTGTCATGTGTTGAGGGACAAGGAAAATCAATCAGGGTAAGGGAAACAGAGGCAAGAGGTTGGGTGCTATTTAATGCAGCGAGGGCAAGGAAGGGCTTGCTGATCAGGTGATCCAGACCTGAAGGGCTGGAGAGAGAAAGCTGCATAGCTATCTGGAGGGAGGCATGGAGACGAGACGGCAGTCATGACAAAGGCCCAGTCTAGGAAATACCTGTGCTTGAGAAACAGAAGAGAAGGACACGCCAGGCAGTGTACAGCTGTAGTCCAAGCTCCTAGAGAGACTGAAGCAAGAAGATTACTTGAGCCTAGGAGTTTGAAGCCAGATTGGGCAACATGGCAAGAAACCAAAAAGAAGGAAGAGAAGGAGGAGGAGGAAGGGGAAGGGGAGAGTGTGAGTGAAAGGGAACAAGGGGAAGAAAAGTGGTAGGAGTCAAGGGCAGAGTGATCAGGGGCGGGGGCCAGTGCTGGGGCTTTAGTGTTCTCATAGTAAAAATATGCAGGAGGCAGAGGGATTTGTAAGGTGCACTGTGGCTTTTCAATCCTGTGATCTGGCCAGGCAAGGTGGCTCAAGGCTATAATCCTAACTACTTGGGAGGTGAAGATTAGAGGCCAGCCTGGGTAAAAAGAAGTTCACAAGACTCCATCTCAACCAATGACTGGGAGCATTGCTGTGCACCTGTCCTTCCTAGCGACATGAGGAACTACAAGGAAGAAGATTGCAGTCCAGGCTGCCTGCAAAAGGGGGCTGGAGGCTTTGACTCAAGTGGTAGAGTGCCTACCTAGTAAGCGTGAGGCCTTTAGTTTAATACCCAGTAACATGCTGCACTCCCCTCAAAAAAAAAAAAATCTTGCGATTCTTGGATCTGAGTGGTGCTCTCAGTGCTACACCCTAGGCAGGCTCTCTGGAGGAGTTTCCAGGCAGAGGGGTGTGCTGTGTATGGCAGGATCGGGAGAATGTCTGAACCGGGATGGTGAGGCACAGGGTCCCCATTCTGTTGACCACTACTGTGTTGATATAAATGAGGACGAGGCAAGCCAGTAGACCTGAAAGTCAGGCAGCAGGTGCTGCTGCTGTCTGAAGGCACAATTTCTTTTCCAAGAAACCTCAGTTTTTCCTCTTAAGACTTTCGACTACATTGTCAGGGATAATCTCTTTAACTGATTGTGCCTGGTGCTGGTGGCTCACACCTGTATTCAGGAGGCTGAGATCTGAGGATCATGGTTCAAAGCCAGCCTGGGCAGGAAAGCCCGTGAGACTATCTGCAATAAACCACTAGAAAACTGGAAGTGGTGCTGTGGTTCAAGTGGTAGAGCCCTAGCCTTGAGCTGAAGAACTGAGGACAGCGCCCAGAGTTTAAGCCCCATGACTGACAAAAAGAAAAAGAAAAAAAAAAGATAACGATTGTTGGTCTTAACCTCATCCACAAAAATACCTTCACAGGGTCTAGGTCAATGACATTTTGTGATTGTTTGCTTTTAGGGCTTTTTTGTTTGTTTTTTTGGCAAGGTCTTGCTGTGTAGCCTTGACTGGTCTTGAACTTAACTCATACCTTAACCTCCTGTGTTCTGTGATTACAGGCAGGTACCCTCATGTTCAGGCTTTTTGTAGGTTTTTTGTTTTGTTTTGTTTTTATAGTTTTTGAGACAGGGTCTTGCTACGTAGCCCAGGCTGGCTTCAACTTCTGAACCTGACCCTTTGTGCTTCAGCCTTCAAAGTAAACTAGAACTACATGTGTGGGTCACTGCACCTGGCTAGATTAGTGTTTGACTAAATCACTTGGGTATTATAGCCTGGCCAAGCTGACACACAAAACAAACGATCACCAGGGTGAGGAGAGGACTCGAAATCCTGTAGCCCACTTCTAGAAGTGTTAAAGCATTGAGTCAGAGGAGGCTGCTTACTATCCCATAGTCTACAGGCAGCAAGACCTTGGGAGCTTGGGGTTTAGGCTATTAACTACTGCACTGTTAGGTCCAGAGTACTTTAAAATGTGCCTATGTGCCTCCTGGTGCCGAGAGCTCCTCAGACCATTGCGAGTGGGCCATGTGTAAATGTGGGAGGTCACCGTGCTGGCTAAGAGTGGGCAGTAGGCTTTTCTGCTATCTGTTTTACAGTGTAGGATTCTGACTGAGGCTGGGGAGGGTGTAGGCAGGTAGATGGTGACATATGTGTTAGGGTTGGCAGGAAGGACAGCGGAAGGGAGACAGAGCAGACTCAGTTGAATATGTCTGAGGGGATCTTAAGAGAGTAGAGCTAGGGACTCACCCAGAGTTGAGTACTATGGACCAGAAAAACTTGTAATAGGACCAGCAGAGGTGGTTAATGGTCAGCCCAGGAATGCCTATCCCTGAGCCCTCCTCTAGGTGTCCTGACCTTGGAAGAACTCCAACTTGGAAAAAGTTGGACTGGCTGTTTGTCATTTATAGAGTTATCCAAACTTCTCAGCATGTCCAGGTGATGATAGATCTAAAATATAAATCCCTTACCCCATCAGAGCACCCCTGCCATACCCTTTTCTTCTGTGGTGCTGGGGATGGAACCCAGGTTCATATGTGTTAAGCAAGCACTCTTCCACTGAGCCACACCACCAGAAATAAATGATCCTTTGCTACCTCTGATCCCTCATCAACTACAAAGTCTTGAGAAGACTTTGGGAGCTCCAGGGGTGTTCTTTTTTTTTTGGTCGTGGGGCTTGAACTCTGGGCCTGGGCGCTGTTCAGCTCAAGGCAAGCGCTTTACCACTTGAGCCACAGTGCCACTTCCAGCTTTTTCTGTGTATTTGGTTCTGAGGAATGGAACCCAGAGCCTCATGCATGCCTGGCAAGCACTCTACCACCGAGCCACCTTCCCAGCTCCTTCCAGGGGTGTTCTGATCACAGAGAGACACCCCTAGACCAC